AAGGGAGTAACAAACCTGAAATTGTAGATTGCTGTGATACAGAAGGCTTCAAGAAAATATATATATCTATCCTTCACAATGTTTCGCTTTGGCAGGTCATTTCTGATTAATCTGACTGGAGCCTAAAAGGCACCTTATTCTGGTTCCTCTTTCTGTCAGGCATTAGAGAAAACCTAAGAGTCGTCTGTGCTGGAATAGGTTAAAAAGGAAAATTACAACTATACATAAAAAGAACTAGGGATTACAGTGGGTCATGGGCTGAACATCAATAAGCAAAACCATAAAAGGTTAAAAAGGAAAATTTCTGCACTGCAATGTATAAATAATAACATCCTTTTAATCTCCCCAGGCCAACAGCCTACAGCTAATTACTACGTCCAGTGTTGATTTAAGAAAAATGTGTAAAGATGACAGATTAAAAACATACCTCATTATGGAAAAGCGAAATATCTAGGCTGCTTAGAGAAGATGGTTGAAATGTGTGACAGTTGCTGATAAAATGTTTGCTTGTCCTGCCCTCATCTTCTGGCTGAGAATTAAGGGATTTGAATAGTAGCAGTGGAGATTTGAGCCAAATGTTAGGTAAAACTTTCTAATGAAAAGGGTATTTAAACTCTGGAAAGTCCATAAAATTACTGCCTCTGGAAATTTTGAAGGACTAGTTAAACAGACCTCTGAAGTGGTGTAGATATATCCATTGTGCCTTGAGACAGACAGATGACTTTTACTACTTCTTGAGCTCTTTGCTGGGCCAGCTGTGTTTGTCTGTAATGTGATTCTGGCCATTCCTCCACAGTATGCTACTGATATCACTTGTTGTGTTTCTTTGCATTGTTTATAGTAAGAGACATAGGATAAGCATGAAACCCAAGACTGGTGGTTAGGTTATTTGTAAGGAGGAAACATATGATTTAATTACTCCTCCAACATCAGTTCTGTGTTTTTTTTGTTCTTGTTTCCTTTAAATGCAAGTTATTATTTGAATGCAAATCTGTGGGGCTTTGATCCCTCATCCAAGTAAGTACCATAACTGCTCATAGGTTATAGCATCAGGGCCTCTCATCCCTTCATCTTCTGGCCTCTCAATCAGATTTTTTTTTCTATGTTGTACAAGATTTTAGCTGGACAAATAGTGAAAATCATTATCCAGATATATGTGTCTCCTGGTCATAAATACAAAAAAAACCTATAGTTCTCCTCAGGCAGAAAGTGAATTGAAGCTGGGATTTCCCAAGCATATGATGACTCTATGTGTTATGGGTACCTGTATCAGAGGAGGTGTATATAGAATAGGTTTTTTTCTCTGGCTTACACTCTGAGTTCCCCAAGGCAAGTGTTTTCATGGCTTTTTGAACTGGAGGGTGTCTTTGGACCACCCTGTTTAACAGTTGCCTGTGGATTTATCCTTTATCGATTTGTCATGTCTTTCATGAATCCGTTCATAGTTTTGGCCTTCAACACATCCAGTGGCAATGAGTTTCACAAAATAATTATGCATGTAATGATTAAAGCCCTTCCATCTGTTTGTTTATTTGTTTTACACCAGCTATCTTACAATTTCATGGGGCATACCCTGCTTCTTGTAATGTGAGAAGCAATGAATAACCGTGTCTTACTCACTTTCTACATATCATTCATGTTTTACAGATCTCTCTTATCAATGACTCTCTTTTAGAAATGCATTTATTTTTCATCATGTAAATGATGCTCTATAATTCTAATACCCCCCCTACCTCTCCTGATACTCTTCTTTCCTTGTTGTGAGAGCTTCATGAGAGCC